TCAGTTTGGTAAACCCTTGAGGTGGAGGTGTCCAACAAGAACTTGAGGTCTTCTTCACCGGAGCTGAATCTGCAATCTCCTTCCAATTTAATATCATTTGATCAACTGAGAAGTCTGTAAACAGTTCTAAAGTTTTCAACCAATGTATCACCCTAACATGGATACTCTCCGTGATTGCTTCCAAGCTTCTCTCCTTATCTGAGAAAATCTGTGAATTTCTTTCCTCCCAAACAGTCCAACATACTGCAGCCCTAACACATCTCCACATGATCTTGGCCCTTTTTGTTGTCCAGCGAGGCATGGATGTGAATAAACATTGCACATTCAAAGGAGGGGTCCACCTGCACCCAAACAAAGAAGTAAACCATTCCCAAATACCTTTAACAAACTGACAAGAAATTAGTAAGTGGTATCCAGACTCTGTTAAGGGCCCGGGAATAGGATCTCATCACGGGTCGGTCCATGGGAAAACCCTCTTGTTTCCCCTTGTCCCTTCCTTTTCTTGACGTACCTATCTTGGCGCCTTTATGGTGATTTGTTCAAGAGATCACCAACTCTCCTTACTCTCTTCTTGACTGAATATTCGATGCCTTTATTGAATAATAGCAGCTCCTTAAATAGGAGACTACAAGAGGTAAGAGTCCTGCTCTTAGGGAGACTCCTTGCTGATTAGGGAGACTCTATCTTGATAAGATAAGACTCTATCATGCTCGAACTCAGGATATGTGGCTTGGAACTCGGTCAAGGGGATCCAGGTGGCTTCGGCTGACGGTAGACTGTCCCATTCTACCAGAACTTCAAGAATACCTCGATTAATACGGGAGCGAACAAGAGTCCTAGGTTGGCGAATGAGTTTGCCTTCTTTCAAGGGTGGCAGGGAGGGGACTTGGTCCAGAGGAGCACCTATAAATGGTTTTAGCAAGGAGATGTGAAAAACATCATGATTCCGACTGCTCTCCGACAATTCCAGCTGGTATGCAACTGCGCCGATCTGCCGCAAAACCCTGAAGGGGCCATAGAATTTAGGGGCTAGTTAAGGGGCAGCCCTGTGGCACAAGGAGCGTTGCCGGTAGGGCTGAAGCTTCAACCAAACAATCTAGCCCGGTTCAAACGACAATTCCCGAAGGTGCTGGTCATAGGTATGCTTCATGCGGAGCTGGGCCTGCTGTAAGCGAAGGTATGCATCAGCTAGAAGGGCATCACGCTCTTGTAAGGAACGATCAATCTCCTCCATACGAGTAGAACCGGGTTCATAGGATAACAAGCGGGGAGGGTCTCGGCCATAGACGACGCGAAAAGGGGTCATGCCGAGGGAAGAATGATAGGCAGTGTTGTAACAGTACTCGGCCCAAGGAAGCCAATCCACCCACCGTCACGGTTGGTCACCCACAAAACAACGAAGATACATCTCGATCGTGCGGTTTACCACCTCCGTTTGACCATCGGACTGAGGATGATACGCGGAGGAAAAAGCTAAGGTGGTGCCATGGAGCCGAAACAGTTCCTTCCAGAAGGCACTAGTGAAAACCGGGTCTCTGTCACTGACAATGGATTCCGTTAACCCATGTAAGTGGAAAACATGTGTAAAGAAAGCGTGGGCGACTGAAATGGCGCTGTACGGGTGTGATAGAGGAATGAAGTGGGCATATTTAGAGAAGCGATCCACCACCACGAACAGAACTGATTTGCCGCCTACCTTGGGTAGTCCCTCGATGAAGTCCATGGAGATGTTGGCCCAGATTTGTGTTGGGATCGAAAGGGGCTGAAGGAGGCCAGCCGGGTGCAGGTTTTCCCATTTATGTTGTTGGCACGTGGAGCAATTTTGGACAAAGTCCCGATTAGAAGCCTTCATACCTTGCCAATGGAAATCAGTCCAGACGCGATGCAGCGTTTTCTGAATGCCTTCATGGATGGAGTTATGAATACTGGAGATGATGGAGGGAATCAAAAGAAGGGTCTGGTGGGAGATGTACCCGACCCTTATATAGTACCAACCCGTCATGAAGGGACCAATTGGAGTCAGCGGCCCCAGACTGAATTTTTTGTACAAGGAAAGACCCTTCTGGTGATTGCGGTATTGCCTTCCTGATGTTGTCTAATAGAGTGATCCAGGGTTGGGAAATTCCGCAAAGGAGCATAGTGTCCTCATCGCGTCTAGACAAAGCATCAGCGGCGTGATTCAAGGATCCCGCCTTGTAGTCCACCCGAAAATCGAAGCCAAGTAGTTTGCTAACCCAATGCTGCTGAGGAGGAGTGGTGAGTCATTGCTCCAACAAGTACTTGAGGCTGTAGTGATCGGTTTTGACGACGAATGACTGCCCCCACAAGTATGGTCTCTAGTGTTGGACGGCTCTAGCTAGCCCGATTAGTTCGCTCTCATAGGCTGGTAGTTTTAAATGTCGGTCGGCCAGTTTGCGGCTGAAGAAGGCAATCGGGTGCCATTGCTACTGTAGTACGGCCCCGATACCTATTCCGGATGCATCGCACTCGACTGTAAACACGAGAGCGAAGTTCGGTAATTGCGGAACTGGGGTGGAGGACAGGGCATCTCTTAAATTTGCAAAAGTTGTATCGGCTGTGTCGTCCCAACGGAAGGAATTTTTCTTTAGTAGGTTGGTTAACGGGGCAGCCAACAGACCATAATTCTGCACAAATTTGTGGTAGTAACCTGTTAAACCTAGGAACCCGCGTAAACCTAGGAACCCGCAGTAGTAACTTGTTAAACCTAGGAACCCACGAATAGCAGGAAGACCGGTGCGCATACTCGTTGATTCAGGAAGCACTCACAACTTCGTAAGTTAGCAAGCTGCCCTTCAGTTAAAACTGGCAATGGAATTCAGGCCACGACTACAGGTAGCCATCGCAAACAGTGAAAGGGTTCACAGTTCGGGAATCTGTAAGGACGTTCAGATACAGGTTGAATCTGAACTATTTTCTGCTGATTTATTCGTACTTTCCTTGGATGGATTCGATATTGTTCTTGGGGTTAAATGGTTGATCACCCTAGGCCCAATTTTATGGGATTTCAGTGCCCTAACAATGACATTCCACTTGAATGGTAAGCAAGTCTCTTGGCAGGGTAGCCCGGTAAAAGCAAGAAAACCACAGGTTCTTGCACTCTAGGGAGAAATGACACATACGACAGCCATGGAAAGACTCCTCACCGAATTTTCAGATGTGTTCCAGGAACCCAATGGACTCCCTCCTCCCCAAGCATGCGATCATCGAATCCCTCTGGTGACGGGTTCAGAACCAGTCATCGTCCGGACTTACCGCTACCCGCATCTATAGAAGGACGAAATAGAAAAGCAATGTGCTGAAATGCTGAAACAGGGGATCATACGCAAGCCGCTCCCCCTTTTCTTCGCCAGTCCTATTGGTAGAAAAACGGGATGGAACTTGGAGGTTCTGTGTTGACTACAGAGAGCTCAATAGCCGAACGATCAAGGATAAGTTTCCCATTCCCGTCAAACGGAGGTGGTAAACCGCACGATCGAGATGTATCTTCGTTGTTTTGTGGGTGACCAACCGCGACGGTGGGTGGATTGG